GGTGGGGGTGGGGAGGATTGGGTGGCGGGGGGGGGGGGGGGGGAGGGGGAGGCTGGGAAGGGATGGTAAGGGGAAACAAAGGAGGAGGCTACAATGCTTGATAAGAAATGTACTCATTATCTTGTCCATGTAATTGTAACCCCTCTGTACAGTATTTTCACAATAAAAAATAAATAAAAAACCAAAAGATGGACAGAATTCCGAAGCAAGTGTGTATGATATGTATTTTACATAATTATATAGAAAAATATAACCATGTAACTGTGAAAAAAAATAAAAGGGAATAGGAACTTTTGATTCTCCCGTCTTCCACTAGCTAGATAATAAAACTCAGACTAAACATAAATCATTTGTAAGATTATGTAAGGAAGTCATTCATGAAATCTGTCCTAAGTCTTTGAAATCTCATACTGTACATTTGCAGCATATATCAATTCAGACCAGCATATATCACTGGCTTAAGAATCAGCTGCCATTAATGATTATTAACGTGGGCTCAAATCCTGGGGAAAAGGGACAGGAAGGAACAAGTGCTAGGAATCTGCAGAATCTTTTCACAAACCTAGGTTTAAAGACTGCTATTCTAGTAAGCCAGGTCCAAAGAAACGTAAGTCCTATGGTTTCCCTTATTTGCAATAACTAGTAAATGTTTGAGACAAGCAGAAAAGGTCATATAAGTTGATGTTAGGCAAAATGAACCCCAAGATAAGAACTCAAGTGGTTTTTCTTTCTTGCTATTGTTTCTAACATATTTATAAGGTGATTTTTTTTTGTTGCTTTGTGTGTCCCTCCCCCACGGTATAACCCCTGTTTTCACTGCAACAATGAAATGTACAAGATGCTATGTCGAAAACCAAACTTTACAACTTTGGTGGTGGGGGGATAGTCATGGAGATGGGAGGTCAGGGATGATAAGGGAAAAACAAAGGAGGAAGCAACAATGCTTGATTAGAAATGCATTCATTACCTTGCTCATGTAATTTTAACCCCTCTGTACCATATTTTCACAATAAAAAAAACTTATTAAAAAAAAGACTGCCATTCTATACTGACCTGTACACATCCATTCCACAACTATTACTAAATTAACACTGGAGAAATGTCATGTCTGAAACTCTAGAAAGCACTGTTTTTTTTTCCAATTTAGTCAACACAGATGCATCATCAATACTCTCTGGAAGTGGCCTCCTTTATCTATCCAAACTTCTCCCACCAGAACATGTTTTGCATTTTCCACGACATTTCCCTAGACAAATGTGCAAATGACCATACACTCGATAAATACTTATAGATAATCTATTAAATAGCATCATAGATACTACAGCTGTTAAAAGAAAAACAGAAGTGGAGGTTCCAGTTTAGATATACTCCAAGGTCAACTAGCAATAACAACATAACCAAAATTTAACTTACCTATATCTTTGACAGTATAAATCAATGAGATTAAGCCAGTAAACTACTGGCTTACTCAGTGCCAATAGGCTGTTTGTCCTAAACCAAAACAAACGACAAATTTAATGTAGAATAGTAAGCCATGAGAAAAGATCAAAATACTTCCTCACTTATGCTTTATAACTGTTTTGTGGTGAATTCATTAAAACTCTCTTTTGGTGTGAGGTCTCCTAGACAGAGACTTGTCTTGTACTTTTTGCATGATAATCTACTTTCATATTTACTAATTTGTTATAACTTCATTTTTGCACAGAAAATACAGCATATATTTTACATAATTATTAACAGTGACAAAAATTCTCTGAAGTAGCACTATAAGCTACCATGAAAATACTGTAGATCAAATCCTTAATAATGTCAGAGAAAATTTATTTAGAACAGTTAGTATTTTTTAATTTAAATAATATTTTACACATGGAACCCAACAAGTGGCGTGTGAAGAAGAAAAAGGAATATCTGGAAATCCATATACAGTGTTGGTATTATGCCCACCTTTGGTCCTCAGCTCCCCCAGACCTGAGCATCTCCCTGTCCTACAGTTCCCGCCATAGAGCCTGCCACCCCTCTCTCCACCCAGACCCAAGTTCGAAGGCACTTCCCTCACTACCTGCCTCCAGACTCACTTTCCACTGGGATAGTTCCACTGTGCTCCCTTCCTGGGAAATATGGCTTTCTCCTATGTCTGCATCCCTTCACGTGGTCCCAGAGATGGTCATGAAGGATTACAGAACATTAAAAAAGACTGTGAATATTAGCAGAAATTTAAACAGATAGAAATAAAACTTCTAGACAGGGCAAAACAATCACAGAAAGCCAGATATGGACAAGATAGAGTCCAAATAAAAAGAGGAGACAGATAAGAATGTAATCAATGCTCCATTTAATGATGTGGATAATGTTATAAGAAATGTGTTGTTATTTCATCTTGCATAACAAATATCACACAAAAATCACAGGGTATACCTAAAAAATCTAGCTGCACACCTACTCTTCACCTAGGCCTTATTGCTCCAGGCTATAAGCTTGTACTGAATATTATATAATACCATTTTTTATGTAACTAAACAAATCTAAATATAGAAAATACATAGTAATCAGCACTGGTGGTTCACACCTATAGTTCCAGTTATTTGGGGGCTCAAACAGAAGGTTCATGATTGTGGTTCAAGACCAGCTCAGGCAGAAATCCACAAGCATCCTCCTTAATCTATGGCTGAGCACAGTGGCACAGGGCTATCCTCTTACCTCCTAGGGAGGCTGAGGATGGCTTGCATTACATGCCAGCCCATGCAAGAAAGTCCAGGAGACTCAGCTAAACAGAAGAACCTAGGAATGGGGGTGTGCATCTGGCATCTCAGCTATGAAAGCAAACCTAAATAGGTGAACCCCAGCCTGGTACAAAAAAAGGCTGGAGGCATGGTTTCTTAGTAGAACATCTTTCTAGTAAGCTTGAGGTCCAGAGTTCAAACTTCAGTACCACCAAGGTATAAATAAAGGGAAGGTGTGGTAAAAGATACTAGATGACGTAAGTTTTACAGCTCTAATATAACCTTGTGGGACCACCATTACATATGAAATGTATGACTATAATGGGAAAAATGGTAACCAAGATAAGCAGAAGCCAGAAAAGCCAAATTCATGGTTCTGATTTCCCTTTAGTCACACAAAACTATATTGCTTTCAGATTTACATAAAACTTTATTACAAACTTCTTACCATACCTTCTGGATCTATTTCCTTTAACTCCTCAGAGTACAAGTATGTAACACCTCTACAGATAGAAAATACACATTTTACTAGCCTATTAACTTTTAGGATCTTCCAATTAGTCATTATTATATAGACCTTCATTGCATTTGCAGATAATTTACAAATGACATCACAATAAAATCCAAGAAATTCTTTTGCTGAGTTTTAGCATAAAGGTTCTTTAAAAGTCAGAAAGAGTCATAAGGTTGAGATCTGAAGTAGCAGTTCAAAGTCATCAGGGCTAGGAATATCTGAGAGACTCTTATCTCCAATAAACTACCAAAATAGCCACAAGTGGAGCCTTGAGCAAAAGAAACTCAGGGACAGCTCCCAGGCCCTAAATTCAAGCCTCAGAATCTGCATGTACATGCTTTCTCTTTCACCACCCCCATAAAAAACAGTGGGGGTAGGGTGTTTTGTGGAGAAAGGTGAGGTCCAAGACCTACTACAGGGAGGCCAGAATTCTGGCCCTAACCCAAGCATCCTACAGAAAGAGCTATGGATACTTCTTCCTCCCTATTCCATACTGCCCTTTAACATCAATCATTAACAACAGATGTAATTTACACAAACATACTTAAAAGATTATTTTTAAAGAAAATCTTTCTGTGCTGTCAACCCCTTTACTCATGAAACCGAAATCAGATAAATAATGCCTTGACCCGCAGCATTCTATGAGGTTCCCCCAATTCCTGGTCCCTGTGAGCACATTCTGTATAATCCTTTGCCACTGAAAGCGGCCACCAATTCCAGGACTAAATTTGTGGACAGATTTATCTAACTTGATCTAATCTCAGCAGCTGAGCCCTTAAAAGGGACAGCAGTCTCTCCAAAATCAGAGCGAATGGAAGTGTAAATAGGCCTACTGAAGGGCTTCCTGACCAGCCCAAACACTATCCTCTAGCCAACAGCCAGAAAGGGAATTTGGGAGCTTGTTAGAGACCTAAAACATTCAGATGAGGTCCCTCTGCGGACTCTAGATTTCAGCCTTGTGTGACCTGGTGGAGCGCCCCTGTGCCATGCCCAGATTTCTGTTCCATAGCACTTAGATAATAAGTGGATGTTATTTTATGAGTCGCTAATTTTATGCGAAGTAGTTAAGCAACAATAATAGAACACCAACACTCAGACATTTCTTGTATATTTAAATAGCAATATGTGTGGTAGTTACAGCTTATCAGACTTCAAAGTGATTATCACAGGTGCTTTGGGAATAAAATTCACAGTTGCATGAGCATTAATCATGCACCTGCTACTTAACTACTTCTGACCGTAGGGTGAAGTCATTGAACTTGTGACAGGAAAGTTCTTCCGTGTGGCCACATAATTTTGGAGGGGGTAACCCTAATTCTCAGTGGCCTAACCAAGGCAGGGGAGGGCTCTAAATCGTGGAACAGGAAAGCCACATACCCACAGGGCAAGCCTGCTCTTAGGGTGTGGCTGCCATGGATGCAGCATCTTTTTAGTGACTAGGGGTCACTGGCGCCACGTCAGGCACAACTAGCGGCAAACTCCAGCGATGGTGCTACCTGGTTGTTCAGAGCACAGGCCTCAGGACGGCTCCCCACCTTCACCTTTGCCCCTCTGATCAGCCACACACGCAGCGCGCCTAAGCCCTGCCGAGGTTCCTCCAACCAGGAACCCAGGGCGCTGGCACACACAGCCGCCGCGCCTGCGCAGAAGTGCCGCCGGGCGAGGGCGGGAAACGCAGCTTCGAAGGGCGGGACCGACCAGCGTGAGGGCGGGGCCTGGCGATGCGTCGCGCTTGCGCAGTAACGTCTCATAACGTTACTTTTGAATCCTGTGGCGGGCTAGTGCGGGGCGCCCGCTGCGGTCGTGACCGGCGGAGTGCCAGCGTGCGGGGGTCTCTGTCGGCGGGGACCTCACCATGGCGCTGCAGCTCTCCCGGGAGCAAGGCATCACCCTGCGCGGGAGTGCGGAAATCGTGGCCGAGTTCTTCTGTAAGACCTCGCGCAGGGCGGACGGCGGGGAGAACGGGGCTCGGGCGGTCCGCTAGGCCCCAAGCCCGGCCCAGGTGACCCGGAAGTGGTCGCGCGGCCCGGTGCTGCGGGCCGCGCAGGGGTCACGCGGCACCCCGAGGGGCGCGGGTCGGAGGGAAGCCTGGTGCGCGGGACCCTTGTCTCCGCAGGCCCTGCCCCTCACTTCCCCAGCACCCCATTCTCAGGGCCCAGCTGCACCTGGGCGGGACTCAGGTGTGGGTGTTGCCGCACCCCCTCCCGCCAGCTGTACCTGGGACTGACCCTGGAGGAGGAGGAGGAGGAGGGGAAAAGGGAGAGGAAGGGGCCCCGCGCCAATTTGGGGAGCCTAGGCCTATTCTGACGTCCTCTGCCCCACAGAGGTGAATTTAGATTACAGGGAGGTCAATGTGATTTGACTTTTTAATTTTTTTTTCTTCATGCTACATAAGTGCAAAGGCCTTTTTCAAAACCTTCGACGCAAAATGTTATTTTCATTGCCCCTTATACTCTGCTTTCAGGAAGACCTATAAACAGGTGTTTGACGATTTACAGCTTTCATACTCTTTCTTCCAGCCTTTGGCATCAACAGCATTTTATATCAGCGTGGCATATATCCATCTGAAACCTTCACTCGAGTGCAGAAATATGGACTCACCTTGCTTGTAACTACTGATCCCGAGCTCATAAAGTATCTTAACAGTGTGGTGGAACAACTGAAAGGTATTTTTTAATCACTGGAAATACTTTGAGTTGTGTTGGGTTCTAGGATCCACATTTTCAAGCATCTCAGGTTCATGAAGAGCTCATCTTTCAGCTCTTGTGTAGAGGTGCAAAACTGCCATCTCAAAATAATGATTCTGAATTGGGAGATAAGCAGATAAGACAGAAATTGAAAGAAATGGCAGCCTTTGCTACACTATACCGTCAGTGGGACAACTATTTTGGTATTAGGAGTCTTGAAAGTCTTAACAGAACAGTCTATCAAATCTATTAAGCTAGGTGCCAATGACTTCAGCTTTTAATCCTAGCTATTCAGGAATCTGAGATCTGAGGATCACAGTTGGAAGCTAGCTCACAAAAGTCTGTAAGATTCTTATTTCCATCTTTCTCCCTCTCCACCCCCCCCCAAAAACAAAACTAGAAGTGGAACTGTGGCTCGAGTGATAGAGTGCTAGCCTTGAAAAAGCCCAGGGACTGCACCCAAGCCCTGAGTTCAAGCCCCAAGACTGGCACCAAAAGGAAAAAAAGGGAAAAAGGCCATTGAATTAATTTATTCAAAAGCAACAAGCTTGAACTTCTCTGATTGTGAAGACAGCCATTATCTGAGAAAATATACACTATGCTCTTAACATTATGTAGTAAACTTTCTGAAACACATCTGTAGTCATTAGAGTAATATCAAGGAAACTAAAATTAGAGTCAACTAGGGACTAAACAGAAAACAATTTACTAAATGGTAACATCCAGTACTATGTGTCAGCTCATTCCATTTGTTTCCATACTGCCTGTCTTAGTATTGAAACTTTTTTTTTTTTTTTTTGCTCATGAGATTGTATTGCTTGTTGGACCAGTGCTTAGTCTCTATTTCTTTTAGAATTTCTACCAGGTACTATGTTTCTCTCGGAATTCTCATTTCTAATTTTTCTGTTTGTAAGATGCTTTTCCCCATTTAGTCTTCCAGAAAACACTAATAGTCCCTCTTTGCCTTTTTTGTTTTTTCATTTTTTAATTCAGAAATCTCTTTTCCCCTCAGAAACTTTGTTTCCTTTGTAACTTTATTCCTTCAATTGTAGTTTTCATTGCATTTTCATATGTTTCAAAAGGCCTTTTAGTGGTACTGGGGATTGAACTCCAGTGTCATATACATGATAGGCAAGTTTGTATTTTGTTTTTTGAAATAGGGTCAAGCTGACTGCTTGTGCTGACCTCAAATTCTCAGTTGTCCGCCTCCTGAATAGCTGAGATTACAGGTGTGTAATACCATGCCCTGCTGGTATTTCTCTTTCAAGTGATAGCCATTAATGTTTTCCTTTCCTTCATATTTTCAGTTGAATCTCCCTCCACTGTAAGTTGAATCTCAAGACAGGCACAGAAAAATTAAATTTATTCTCTAAGGCAGATTTTCTCAACCATATTATTAATGACATTGTGGCTAGGCTGTTTAATGTGGTTTCCTTACCTGTTTGTTAAAAGGCATGTGGCATATTGTGAAGTTTATATAATCACAATCTCAATAAAGAAATTGTTTAAAAAGTACCCAAAAAAAAAAGTCATGTGGCAACATTTTTCTGTTCACCTGTTAAGTGAATTTCATGTCCTAGCTTTGACCATGAGAGCTTTGATGCTGATAAGGTAGACTCTACTCTCAAGGACAAACAGGAAGCACATCCATAGGAAACCATCCATAGGAAACCACCTTGCCTCTCCCAGAATTATATCCAAAATAGACTGATTAATGATCTATAATCGTTCATATAAAGCAAGTATCGATTAGTGTTTTCATCTTCTACCTTTTAATCTTGATTAAAATTAAGGAATTGTTTATCCCTACAGGCAGAATATTCAGTTTGTTTAGAATCTCATTTCTTTTTCTTTACATTGTTTCTATTTTATGTGTGTGTCTGTTGTAATTTGAATTATTCCCATTTGTTTTTTCTCTAGTTTTAATCCCTTAAGAATTGCTATCTCCTGTTCATATTTCATGATTCAGGCAGAAGTCTTCTCTTTTGAGTACCATCTCTAGGTATCTGACGTGTATAGCTTCACTACCAACTTTTCTGTAGTCAGCACCAGCTTTTAGCTAACCCATGTCTCTTCATTCCAGATCTGTATATCCACTAGTTATTTCTTTTTGTGACTATCCTATAGATACTTTGTACTCATATTAAAAACTAAATTTAGAATGGTCTTCTAAACTATTGTTCTCAATAGCACAAAAGTCTAACATAAATATAAGTCAGTATTGAAGGATACTCTTAATCTCATAACCACTCCTATAAATTCTAAGACATTACCATGTAATGTTTCCTCATTTTTTCAAGGTTACATTATGAACTCATTACTTTTTGCTCAGTTTTCTCATTAACTACCTGGAGTCAGTGGACTCCTTTTTTACTCATCTGCTACTAATAGTAGACATTTGAAAATAAGCTTGATTACTGATAGGATAAATTTTGAGAAGCTGTTTAAAGTACCAGTAGTAGAATTTTGCTAACGATAGGAAGTAGAACGCTAGAAAAGAGTTGTTTTGCAATAAAGTAGACCACAAAAGATAATGTGTATGCATTGCAGATTGGTTGTATAAGTGTTCTGTCCAGAGACTGGTGGTGGTCATCTCAAATATTGAAAGTGGTGAGGTCCTTGAAAGATGGCAGTTTGATATTGAGTGTGACAAGACTGCAAAAGACGACAGGTAAGTATGAATTCAGTTGCTCTTTTTTTTTTTTCCCCTCCAAAATTGGTTTTCATTGCTATATAAGTTCTAATTGCATGAGATATTTAATATATAGTTTGTTTCTCCGGTAAATTTTCTATGCTCTTGTTTCTTCTCATTGATTAATGTAGATAGAATATTTTTAACATACTTACTTGCCTTTAGTCAGTGAATGTTGAATTTGAGTATTTTTGGCAATACATGCAAAGCTACACATGGTATATGAAATTGCTCAGTTACTCAAAGATACTTTTAACTATAGAGAGTGATCGTAGACTCTCTCCAACTTGTGATGTCATTTGACGGTACTTTCTTCAATGCTATGAGCTTATATACTTCATATACTTTTAAAAATAGCACACCAAAGTCCATCATTCTGTTACTAATATTTAACATTTTCTTAGGCATACTCTTATGTAAACTCAGAATTGTTTCTCAGTAAATGTAGTTTGTTTCCAAAACCTTTATTTTAAGAAGCTTTTAGCCTATAAAAATAATTTTATGTACAATTTGTTTTATTAGAGGCAATAGGAGATTAGACATTCAGTCATTACTAACTGCTGAATGATTTTTGCTAGTTTAATAAATAGTGTTTATTTTTATCATGCAATGTTCAAGTTTTTCTGATTTGAAGTAGTTGGTAAATTTTGTAATCATATTTTTCTAAATGTCCTGGTACTATAACTAATCCTAAAAGATGACTTGAAAGGACCAATTAAAAAATAAAGATGTCATGCCTCCATCAGAAAGAATGACATTGCCCCATATGTTAGGAAATAGACTTGGGAAAAATTAAGTGAAGTAAGCCAGGCCCAAAGACACATAGGTCCCATGGTTTCCCTTATTTGCAATAACTAGTAAATGTCTGAGACAAGCAGAAAAGGTTAGATAAGTTGATGTTAGGTGAAATGAACCCCAAGATAAGTATTCAAATTTTTTTTCTTTCTTGCAATTCTTTCTTTTTTTTTTTGTGGTTGTGGGGGCTGAACTCTGGGCCTGGGCACTGCCCCTCAGCTCTTCAGCTTAAGGCTAGCACTCTACAACTAGAGCCACAGTGCCACCTCCAGCTTTTTCTGCTTATGTGGTGCTAAGGAATCGAACCCAGGGCCTCATGCATGGGAGGCAAGCACTTTACCACTGAGCCACCTTCCCTGTCCTCTTGCGATTGTTTCTAACTTATATATAAGATGATTTCTTTGTTCCTTTGTATGTCCTTCCCCCACGGTATAACCCTTGCTTTCACTGTATTTGATGTTGGTATAATTTGTGGAGGGGAAGGGAAAAAAAACAAATCATTTAAATAGGGATACAGGTGGACCCATTGAAACAATGAGATATACAAGTCTTTATGTCGAAAAATGAACTTTACAACTTTGGCCGGGGGTGGGGTGGGGTGGGGGATATGGGGGGGTGGGAGATGGGAAGGGGAAACAAAGAAGGAGGCAACAATGCCTGATAAGAAATGTACTCATTACCTTGCCCATGTAATTGTAACCCCTCTGTATGGTATTTTCACAATTAAAAAAGGTATCATTATACCTACTAAGTTATGGGTTCTCAGGACATTTCTTAATTTCCTTTTTACTTTTGGAAGTTGCGCTGTAGCTCAAGTGGTAGAGCGCTCGCCTTGAGCTGAAGAGCTGAGGGACAGCGCCCAGGCCAAGAGTTCAAGCCCCACGACCTACAAAAAAAAGAAAAAGAAAACAGCCCTTTTTACTTTTGAAATATTTAATCAGGTCTTTCCTCATTATGTTTTAAATACCTTGTTAGAACCTAAAGTAAATTAATCCATTTTGTTTCTTGTATAGTGCTCCCAGAGAAAAGTCTCAGAAAGCTATCCAAGATGAAATCCGTTCAGTGATCAGACAGATCACAGCAACAGTGACATTCCTGCCCCTCTTAGAAGTTGCTTGTATGTATTACATATCTCCTTTATTTAATTATTTTTATTATCAGTGTCATGTTATAAATGTGTATGTATATTTATATATGTATGTGTGGGTGTGTGTGTGTGTAAAACTAGAAAAAGTAAAGTGCTACAAAAGAAAGGTATTCCACAGCACCAAGTTAAACATTTTTGTGATTTTTTTCACTGTTACTTCCTGAACATTATTTTTTTTTTGCCACAGCGCCACTTCCGGCTTTTTTCTTTTTGCTTATGTGGTGCTGAGGAATCGAACACAGGGCCTCATGCATGCAAGGCAAGCGTTCTACCACTGAGCCACCTTCCCAGCCCCTACATTACTTTATATAATATGCGTGGGTCTTGCTTTTCATTTGTTCTTCGTAGCTCTTAGTTACTTGTAAACTACTCACCAAATGCCTTCTATATATGCTAGACATTTTTCTGAGCACTATAACAAGCAGTAGCTTTCATTCATATTTTTATGTGATTATATGCTTATTGTATTTGTGTTTTTTAAAATTTAAACTTACTGTATTTTAATGGTTTGAAATTAAATGTGATTTCTTTTCATAAAATAAGACGTACGTAATATTTTGTCTGTGGATTTGAATTTTTTTGAAGAAAATTAATTATTAGAAACCAAGCTAAATTATTTTTTATGCCTGTGAGACAAACAGGATTGTTTTTATTTTGAACACTCATATATTTTCTTATTCCATTATAGGCTCATTTGATTTGCTGATTTATACAGACAAAGATTTGGTTGTACCTGAAAAGTGGGAGGAGTCAGGTCCTCAGTTCATTACAAATTCTGAGGAAGTCCGTCTCCGTTCCTTTACTACCACCATCCATAAAGTGAATAGCATGGTGGCCTACAAAACACCTGCTAATGACTGAAGGTGAGACTAGGAAAGTAATGTAGTTACAATTCTCTAATGTTGTTTTCCTGAAATTTAAGTCAGCTGTGGTTGACAGGTCTTATTTCATTGCATAATTTTTGGATGGGGAAAGATAACATTGTACTTTGGTGAATGTGTATTGTTCCACTTCGGGGGGTGCCTATTACCTTAGGGGATAATACAATGAGTTTTCTGCACATAGTTCAGGAGAGACTACCAGCTTGTGTCAGCTTCAAAATATAAGTTCTTTTAAAGTGGTATTCTTTAGAAAATACTAGCTATAAAGCTTAATAGCTTGACTTACAGAGATGCTTGGATACGTATACAGCAAAAGCTTAGATTCTGAAAATAGTGAAATATAGATTTATTGGGTCCTGTATTATTTGTTATATTGTATAGATCCCACATTGAACATTTTCTGATTGATTTTAACTTATATGGAGTAAACCTATGAAAGAATGGATATTTGCACTGTTGAATTCTTTTATAATAAAAAACTTTACAAAAAATTTTAATGTTTTCTACAATCAAGCTTTGAGTGACAATAACAAAATAAAGTTAAATTTGTATGTTCTGCATTTGTCCTAAAGTATTTTCATATTGTTGTAGTACAAATACTATAAAATATACAATAGACTTAGTGTATCAAATATCTTTTTATTACAGTATATCTTCATCTCATAACAACACTAAGCAATAATAAAGTGTAATGAAATGTCATTTCTTTATGTAAGCAAATTTAAAATAGCTTCAATATACCAAATGATTTCTTGTGATTATCTTTTTCACTTCATAAAAATACACTTAAGTCTGGTGCTGCTGGCTCACACTTGTAATACTAGCTATTCAGGAGGCTAAAAGCTGGGAATCATTTCCATTTTCCAAGCAGGAAAGTCAGTGAGACTTTTTTTTTTTGGTCCGGTTGTGGGGCCTGAACTCTGGGCCTGGGCGCTGTCCCTCAGCTCTTCAGCGCAAGGCTAGCACTCTACCACTTGAGCCACAGCACCACTTCCGGCTTTTTTTTTTTTTTGCTTATGTGGTGCTGAGGAATGGAACCCAGGGCCTCAGGCATACAAGGCAAGTGCTAAACCACTGAGCCAACTTCCCAGCCCTAAGTGAGACTCTTACGTCGACTACCAAAAAGTCACAGAGCTGTGACTCAAATAGTAGAACATTAGCCTGGACAGCACCCAAGTCCTGAGTTTAAGCCCTAGGAAACACACACACACACACACACACACAAGCCTGGACTACACCCAGGTCCTGAGTCTAAGCCCTAGGAAACACACACACACATGTACGTCTTGACCGCACCCAGGCCCTGAGTTTAAGCCCTAGGAAACACACACACACACACACACACACACACGTACGTCTTGACCTCACCCAGGCCCTGAGTTTAAGCCTCAGAAACAACACACACTTCTTAAAATGCACTTCATTGTAAAGGGAAAATATCATTTGAAGTTAATTCCATTTATGGAGTATTTTGTAGTGCCTTTATCCTCTGCTTGGTTTTAGCTAGTTTTTCATATGTTCTTAAACACCATTCTTATTCCTTTACCTTTATTCTTGTCCTTAGCAGGTGTCTTCTTTTTAGTTCCCAGCTGATTTTTCAAGGTCAGTTTAAAACTTCTATAACAGTTCTAATCTCTAGTCTAAAATTCTACTTTATTTTCTAATTAATTTGATTTTTTTAGACACTTTTAAGCTATTGTTGAGTTTACATCGTTTTTATCCAGTCATCCAAGCTTAATCTATCATCTGTCAATGTACAAAATACTAAAGAACACTGTTAAAAACACGGAAGAATAAAATGATTCCTTGGCTTTCCTAAAGCTTGAGACTTAAAAAAGGAGCATCTATAGCCTAAAACCTGAAGTAACTCACCAGGTTCATTTAATTTTGTAATTGGCTTTTTTACCTTTGGAAAAATCATTGTTTTGGATTTAATGTATGCATATGTAGGATAAAGGCAGTGTCTTAGTTTTGTCATCTAGTTCTGGACAGACAGATAAGTAGTGTGTTGTTTATTAGAACTTCTTCCAACAGTTGAAGTTACTACCTGAGGTCCAAACATTTAGAAAAGTTTGCCCACAAGTGTTTTCTATTGATAACAAAATAGTTCTGCACAAATAGAAGTGGTGTTGAATTAGATACTTTTAAAAGCGTAGATTTCAAACAGTATCAGTGACGGGATAAAATGATACTGAGATACAAACGTTCATTTGAATTCTTACTGTTCATATCCTTTAGCACTTGAAATGTCAGTCAAGAAGAGAAGCAGTAATGAAACTTCTATAAATAAGATAAAGAAGATTCTTTTTAGGAAATAAATTTGAAAATTTTTGTAGGAAGCAATGCAAAACAGCAAATGCCTTTTTGCTCATCACTGGGAGTAATTAAATCCAGTTCTGCCCACCAAACAAAGCTCAACACATAGCATTCTTACATACTATTAATGACATCTAAAAGTCATTTGGTCTTTTATTTGGCAATTAATGACATCTAAAAGTCATTTGGTCTTTTATTTGGCAATCTAAAAATTCTAAGCAATATAAATATTACAACTTTTGTGATTATAGTACTAAGCTCCATGTTTTCGGAAATTAGTGGTCTGTACTTAAGTGTTAGTCTAAATAATAGAATTTTCCATACAATATATTGTCTGACTCATTCTGTAGTTCTAGTTCTACTATGGAATGAGTCAGATAATATGTTTGAAAGTAGAAACTGATATAGAAAGACATAGTGATGAACATTAGTGTCCTCTGAGAAATCAAAGTGAATACATAATACCAGGGTACCTACAGGGTTCTCAAATTTGCAGACTTGGAATATCTTTGAAGTACAAAAGTACTACTGTATTACTCAGCTTGGTGATTTCAAAAAAGTAGCCTTTGTTAATAATTTGATAAAGCTAAGAATTCTGTCAAATCATTTCTGAAGGTTTAGTATATACTAATTTCATGTCATTGTTTTGTTAAATTCTCAAATGTTTATCATTTTCATGCTCCTGATTTTGCTCTTTAAAGATTTATGTTTAGAAATATTTTAGAGTAAGGAACAAGATTGAATTACAATGGAAAGATTGGTCCATGGCTCCAAGTGGACTTATCCCTAATTCTTTGTGCTACTTGAAGTTCAGTTTAGGATGAAAACATTTAATCAAACAACCTCTGGGACAGGCTTCTACACTGTGTTAAGCTTAAGTAATCCAGGATTCTTTGGGACTAGTGAGCTTCTATGTCAGGCCTGAACTCTGACTCAGTTTTGCTTCCTAAAGGCTGAGAGATGAAAATTTGTTCTAGTTGATCTATAAAAGTCTGAAATAGAGTACCAAAGGGACTAAGGCATCTTTACTTAAGCAGCACATCCCAGTGTTCTCTTTTAGCTGAGTTTTGCTGCACAGCAGATTGTAGGCTAACAATAAGTGTATTTTCCCTTCATGTTTGTTTACTGGGTCCTCTTCCACAAATCAGTGAGTCACTAGTGGTAAATTGTAAGAAACCAGATGATAGGTCAAGGATTTGGGCAAGGGTTTACATTTGCAACCATTAGATCTACACTGTACATTGGGTCACAAATATTCCAGTCTCTCCTTAGTAAGAGCATTTTATCTTGTGATTTTTAATACTTGTAAAATAATATTTCTAGTCTCAATAGGATGACTTCTGATTTTTATCTTAGTCCCTTAGCACAACTAACAGTTTTTGGAAATATTATTTATGACACCACACAGAATTTTGATACAGATCTTTAGCATGTGACACATTAAAAAGTATAAATGGTCCACATTTTTTACAGTGTACATATACTGGGAATATGTTTATTATTAGAATACAGGCATTGGTTGTTAACCTCTATTTTGTAATGTAGACCCCACAGATATCCTTCTGGACATGATTTCTTTATCTGAACCATTTAGTCACTTAGTTTATAAAATTCACCTTAAATTTACTGTACATAAAAGCTCAGAAAAGTCATGTGGTACTACAGTGTAACTTCTGTATTTTCCACCAGGTGTCACTAATGCTTCAAAATCAGGTGAGTTTCTTTTGACTCTAAAGACCAATACCAGTTTCTTACTGACAGAGGTAACATGGGGCTGAATATAAATATAGAAAAAAAAGGGGGGCTAGAGTGCTGTTTATTATTTGTTAGGTTTTTTTTTATATGAGCTTATTTAATTTTCTTCCATTGGTGCAGGAATAAAATTGTAGGGTTAGCAGGTATGCAAGCTTCTATGCTTGTGAAGTTAAGGTGTTCTCTTCCTTCTGGAAGTTATCAAAATCAGTGTTCCCACCCTTCTTGCAAAGATACTAGAAAATTGAGTGTCCAGAGAAAACTAGCCCTTAATGTGCTCTCCTTTTAAAACTTGAGTATATTTTATTGGGTATCTTATATTTACTCTTTGTTCAGATAACTGACCAGGGATATGGGAAACGAAAAGACAACTTGATCTTCTACCTTGCATACATCATAAATTGTTAGTTCATGAACTGCCAGGAAACACAGTTTTCCATCACAATTGTTTACTAAGCTACATCAGTTATTCATAATCTGTGGGAAAAATTTTTATTTAACTTGTAAGTTCCTTATCACTTATTAAATGTGAAATTATTTTAATTTGGGCTTAGTGAGGTAAAATCTGTAATAACTATGGAGTGGAAACTGGTGAATTTCAGACTATATGTCTCCAATATCAGATCTCTAGAGATCTTCCCTTTCTATGTGGTTAAAGGTTTGAAAGTCATCTTATTCTCTGTACCTTATTTAAAGTATTGTGAGGTGAAGGGTAATCTGCATTAGAATCAACAATTCTGTTCCAAACTGCAAAAACATTGCTTCATTGACAAGATTATAAAATGGCCTAAAGAGCAAAATGACAGTTAGTCCTGAGGATTAACTCAGTGGTTTTTATGTTCTCCTGCATCTGTCCTCTGTATTTGATCTCTTCTATAATCATTGTTTCATTTATCTGTACTATCTGTAGTTTCTTCTTTTATGTGTATCATTTTGCTATGTGGATATATTTGCAAAAAGCACTTTATACATCGGATCAAATCTTTATTGCTTTGCTGTGCTTTGAAATGTCTCCCAAGTATAAACTGGAGCACCTATGTTCCCTTTCCCTGCAAAGGAAAGATCTCAAAACATCTGTGTACCTGGCACCATGAGGTACTTTATACCTGCTCTACTGTCTCCTGAGTGAGTACAGGTTGGGGTTCATAGGAAAGTGAGAGACCAGACTTGGACCAGACACTGTGGTCTTGAAAATTGGACCTGGGGCATGGAGAAAACCCCCGAGGTAAAGGCAGTGATAAACTCTAAGTGACAAGTGATAAGTCGTTTGAAGCAAGGCACAACTTCCAAATGTCAGCTTGGAGCCACAGGCAGCAGAATGTGGAGAAAGAAAGATTGCATCCAAAATCAATGTGTTTTATGACTTTGCAGATGCCCCTTGAATCCCAGAGAGAACCACAAAACAACAAAGAAACACGAATGAAGTTCCTTGCAGAATTGTTCAACTTGCGGATGAAA